TTCCAATTTAACGTTTTTCTGACACATAACTGCATGCGCGGGTGAAAGCACAGGGTGTGAGTCCTTATATATATATACACTATCAGTCCATATCTCGTCAGACCCCTTCCTACCCCAGCTTCGCCTGAACGGGGTTTACCGGACTCAGAACATGTCTTTGGCCTGCGCCGCTCGTTTCCTGGCGCCGATCTTGGCCCGGACCATCCTGGACTTCGGCGGGCGCAACTACTACGCCGCCCTGCAGCTGGTGATGGTGGCGCTCAGCACCACCACGGCGGCCCGGCAGGGACGGTAGGACGGAGGAGTTGTACATACTGAAGGATGCAAAGGGTTGATGTGTTTGTAGCAAACACTCCAGCACGGTAGGTTGATGCCTTCGTACTTGGGGCATGATCTTGGACAGGACAACAACAAAATGATACAACATGAACACCTCTTGCTTTTGGCAATGTAAATTTGCCCACAAGGGCAGAGCATCAATTCAAAGTATTTTTGCAGTTTTGTTTTTTCCTGGGTTCCTGATGTGCGAGAGTGTTTGTTTTGTTGAATCTTTTCCTTAGCTGCTAATCGACTGAGGTCTACAGGGCTGTATCCATGGTTTGGAACCTTAGTCGCGAGGCCAAGACCTCGAAAAATGACAAGGAGGTGTGAGCTTCCAAGAAGCGCTGCAGAGGAATCAGGCTCCACTAGCCAGGGCGGGAGGCAACGAAAAGTTTTCGGATTGCTTGAGTGTTACGACATCATCAGGTGACACTTCGCCACATAGCATGATAGCATCAGCATCACATTGCATATCACCATATATCACCCAGGCATTTTCACACAGCTCACAGCATAAAACTGAAATGCATCCATGTTTGCTTCTTTTTCCCGCAACTACACTGTGTAATCGTTTGCGACGCTTTGCCATCCGGGCCATCCAAGATTTCTCAGGTAGACTTAGCAAGACATGGATTGCTCCTGTTTGTTCCTCAGTAAGACGGTGTGGGCGTCGTGTGCAGTCTTTACGTGATTTCTGCTGGCAGGGTCCGGTAGACTACCCAATAATTTGTGTCCCGCCTTGGAAGCCGGAGCCATGATCTCCAGACTCTCAGGGTTTCACAGGTACTGATTCGGCGCAGAAAAGTGCGTTCAAAAAGTCCATTTCAGGTCCAGCAGTTTTAAAGGATCTTTTTAAGTCCCGTCCAGTGAGTGGATGTGACAGGGGCACCCCGACTTGCATTCGTTCGACACCCAACTCCATGTAACTGCTAGTGTCACGCACTTACATTCCCCTCATTTTTCGGTCAACGTTCATATGATTCATATGGATGTCATGCGACAAGGACGACCGAGACGACCGTGACCTGACCTGGATCAAGTGTAGAGACCCCTTCGGACTGGTGGTGGTGCAGTGGCCACTTGGTCAGGAACCCGCCATGGTGCAGGAGAACTTGACGATGTTGTTCGGTGTAAGAGGACCGCTGACCAAAGACATTACTCCTGAGAGTTTTTCTGACCGTTTGGTGCCCTTCACCTTGACCACTTGGCTTGTTCTGCTCTTCTTGTACTTGATCTTCTTCGCGCACGAGATGTATGCTGCAAGGGTCAAGCCACTGCTGGCAGGGGAGCTGCCCAACACTTTGCTTTTTCAGTATACGCTGCTCTTCTATTGGTTTTACCACTATCTCAACGAGGCGATGCTTCTGCCGGTGACCTTGGATTTTGCGGCCAGCATGGGTCAAAGTGCCACAATGTCTGGTTTTTTCATTGGCAGTTCTTTGGTTGCCTCTATTCTCGGTGTCATCATGGGCAGCTTGGCTTTACCGCATTGTGGTCGTGATGGATTAAATTCTACATTAACTTGACTTCGAGTGACACATATTTGCCAGCGCCAGTCGGATGGATGAATCCCAGGTGGTTTTGAGTTTGAAAGAACTGAGGAACCAAAAACAGGTTCTGTGACGGTTAGGCGTTCGCTTTTGACGCTAATTTGCTCGTCGCTTGTGACGCTAATCCCTAGTTCCTATTAATAAACGTACCCCAATTAATAAAAACACATGTGCCCGACCCCAAAAAATTGTTAGTAGCGTTTTGAAATTGCTCCCTTTGAAATTCAATACTCGTGGGTCCACAGTCGGGGGTGCCCCAGATTTTAGGTGTATTAGGGGGACAGCAAAAATAACCCGAATTCCTCCTAATATTAAAAACATCTCCAATCCTCCCCCAAAAATACCTCTCTCCCTCTCTCTCTTCGGCGAGACCGCGAGACCCTGGTTCTCCCTCTCTGTCCCTCTCCGTCCCTCTTTGTCCCTCTCTGTCCCTCTCTGTCCCTCTCTGTCCCTCTCTGTCCCT